CTCGTTGCCCGAAGGCTGCCAGTTAACCCAGTAGATAATCAGGCGTGAAGGCGGCTGGTCAAAGAATATGCGGGTTATGAATCGAAACTGCTACTATTTACTAGCGCTGGCAACCTGAAACTACAGATGATTTTTGGGCGAAGCAGGCCTTGAAGAGTTGAAAAAGACAAGGTGGGAATTTGTAGCACTCGAAGAAGTTGCAGGAGGGGCTATTAGAACCTAAACATTATCCACAGACGATTGAAAAACCATGTAGTTCAACTGAACAGCAGAGAGGGTGCAAGGCTGGTCGTTGGAGTTTCAAACGGATGCGACAGCAAGATATTCAAGTATATGCGCCAACATCAAGCCGTCTTGATCTCGAGATTGATAACTTGTACAAAAAAATAGAAGAAAAATTACAAGTTCATCTTTGGTGATTTCAACGTCGCAGGAATGCTCTATGAGGCGATTTTGATTAAGGCGAAATGAACGACGGGTAATCGACTAGTTGGATTTGCTGATACAAACAAATTTATAATGAACACCCTTTTCAGAAGAAACCAAGTAAAAAATGGTCACGGAATGGTCCAAACAATCTCTGGGATACAATCGATTTGATTTTCAGTAACATGAAGATCAGTGCAAGATATGGTATTGAAGAGGGTAAATGCTGTTAACGAACAAGCTAGTTTCATACAATGTGCAGTCGAACTCGGTTATAGAAAGAAAGAAATTGCTGAAGATGATGCTCGACGTGGAAACAAGCAAGAATCTCCCACTGTTCTAATTCAAATTGAATATCCGAATGATCGTCCTTCACCGAACGGAAGAAGAGGGAGCAGTGAACATTAACGTAATTTATCAGAATATAAAGAAAGCAGTTATGGAAACAGCGGAAAACGTCTGCGGAATCAGCGTTCTTCGATAAACCGTAGATTCATACAATAAAACAGGCGAAACGAGGAACGGCTTATGGCAATGATGGCATCAGAATCAAACTCGTGGAACTCGGTAGTGAAGCACCGAACCTGATATTTGCGAGCTTGTTTTCCCGCTGTGTGAACAAACTGAAAATTCTATAGATCGGACTATCGCATCGGTGATTCTTCTCCAAAAAAGAAGAGGGCTGATTCATTTGAAAAACTACAATGAATCATTTGTTGCCAATCATCCACAAGATCTTCAAAAGGGTGCAAACAGACTTCAAGAAAACCTGGTTTACTCACAGCCACAAGAGCACGCAGTATCCAGAAGTAGGTTTAGTGCGATGGATCATTTCCACATGGTAAACACAACGACGAATCTCCATTTCCTCTCTGCCTCAGGTTCGTTAACTTCGAGAAGGCATTCTACACGTTCAGCGTATACATCCGTTCTATATTGGATTCACTGAGTAGTCACTGAACCGAGAAAAGATCTCATCGTAATGATGTAAACGGACGCAACTGCTAGCTTGAAGACTCACGGAAGCACAAGCAAGTTCAAAATCGAAAAGGGCGACGCATCACCGAAGTAATTCACAGCTCAAGAAGGCTTTCCAGCCATTCATCTCATAAAATCAGAGGCTGAACACAAATGGGACCGTTTGCAGACGACATTGTAATCCTGGTCAGCAGTAGAACTTCAGAGAAGAATCCAATGTCTGAACGACGCCAGCATCGTACAGGACTGAAGATGATCCTGAAAAAGACTCAAAACCGTGTCGTCTTGTTGAAGTAAACAGATTCTGACACGAAGAAGTGTAAAATTACACCTATCTGGAACTGCTCGTCACTGAAAAGGATAACGGAATAGTAAAATCAACATCAGAATAAGAATGTTATGGAGCACTTTTCAAAGTGAAAATTTTTTCACTCATAAAATTATCCTTGCGCTTCAAACGGAAGGCATTTGATGTGTGATTCCACTGCGAAACGCGGACATTACGCCTGAAAGCGATGTATGAAATGGAGACTAGGCAAAAAAAGGTGAATGTTGCGAATTCAACAGAAGGTAGAAAGACGAATGAATTAACAGGAGCACAAGCAAGTTTGAGATGACTTTACCCAAGTGATATTCCGGACACGTTACAAGGAGATACGACTCTCGCTTTAGCAGAGAGAGCAATAATCCCGGTTCCAAGAGAGAATAAACGGCTGATAGGAATACCTCCAGATCGATGGCAGGATAAACTAAGCGTGCTGGATCAAGATGAATGAAGATTGCAAGAAACGTAAGTTTTTGGCAGAGCCTTTAACGGCCTTCATCCAGGACGGGATCGACAAAGGCTAACAGTGATGAAGAAGTATGATGGTTAGAATAATTCGAAATTACAAGTCAATACGAAAGGCTAGCATTCAGAAACGGGTGGAAAAAGTTTTGTTACATGAAATGTACAAGAATGCCTCAGAAAGGAAGGCTAAGCAACTGTTTCTTGCCAAATCGACCGGAAGAATGCACAGGGAACGGACAAGATTAACCTGTTGCAAATATATGGAAAGAATGTGTTCGAGATTCCAGTTGTCATCTGCCGAAGCTCAGACTCTGGCAGAGGATCGGGAACGTTGGAAGCACTGTCTGACGCGTCTGTCTCCGCGACCCGAAAGGAGAAGAAGCGATGGAAGATGAGGATGAAAATTTACAAGATACAGTTAGATTTTAGCAGATGCGTTAAAGAACACAGCGGAGTAATCTCAAATAAAGCAAAGGCCGATTTCTGGTCACTGTAATTATAATTAACGAATGACCCTAATAAGTAGCATTAAATTAAGTTTTAACTGCGACAATGATCTGATGTTAATCGTCCAACAAATCAGTACTACCAGTTTCAGACGGTAGATCGCTATCTGAAAATCAAATAGTTCTCCATTTGGCACATACAAGTGTCGAAGATTTAGAGTGAAGAATACGATGTGCCGAATAACCAACGAGTTATCGTGTTAGATGCGGAGTCTTGGACCTGCATGCAATGCCACGGAAAACTGCAGTAAGTACGGAAATCTCAGGTGATGGAAAAGAAATATGAAGTATAGCCATTGGTATGATCGAAGGTCCACGAATGTCATGTTATTCTAATGACTTTTCCGAATAAAAGACGTCGCTTGTTGATAGCCGATCACAGTAGCTGCTCTTAATCTCATGTTTATCCAGTTAGTACTCATCTGTAAAACATTGGCGGGGCTGTTCATTCATGAATAATCATTATGTGAATTGTCACATTAAGGATACGGCAGAGATGAACAGGTTCAGGACATTATTTTCATGGGTGTCCTTACACGACGCGTTTAAATTAAAAACAGGCATGTCTTACCACTCTGTTTATCAAATTCAGATGCAAATGTAGTCAGCAGGTGTGATTTCTATTACATGTCTAAGAGGTGAGTTTAAATTCTTTGGTAAATGTTAAGCGTCTGACCACATGATGCTTCTGTCACGTTTCCTCATTTAATATATGCTTAACTTGAAGTACTTTGTGGCGCACGCTCTTATCTATTGTTCTTGTTTTAAACGCATTATTGTATCAATGTAGGTTGCACCGGCAAGAGA